CATTACAAGACTTGATTCCCATCATTCACCACCGAAATAAGAGGACTCTGGTGTGTCCCCTCCCAACCCCCTCGTTAAAAATCATGTTTCAGAGGGGCATGCATTCAAGCAAATCACTTGCATGAGTGCGAGAGCAAGGTCACGCGGTTCGATCCGATGCACTTATTAGATTTCCCTTTAACGAATTAAAGCTATATCATAATAAGATAAACATCAATTTTGAACTGACCACAGATAGCACTTTTTGATTTGCATAACATTGCCTCGGTTATATCAGCCTGTATACCACATTTGGTAACCAATCATAAACCATCCGCCCTTCAGACCTGGCTTATCTAGCTTCCGCCTAAGTATATTTCCGATGAAAATCAGACAAACTTTTTTGTGAGTAAAATACGCTGCCTGTATTTATTTATGGCATGCAGGCCACCGTATCCGGCGGAAAATTTACTAGCCATACGGCGAGACTGGTGGAACATAGGATATCACGGAAATCGGAAAAATAGCGCTAGCTTGCGTTCGATTCCTTCATTACGCGCCAGCTCCTCTTTTATATCATGTTTATCCTTAACTTTGACATAGTCATATGCATCTCGACTAGAATTACGCTTTCATGACGTGGCGTGCTCGTCTTCTAACTGAGATGGGCTGCACTATTAAGTTTTAACTCACCAACACTTGAATTCATCTGAGCCAACGACCACATCCGTACAAATGTAACTTATTTATGCACATCTCCTTATTTATCATGATTTCGTTCAGCTTTAATCCTCAATAAATGCGTCGGAAAATCACTTTAATCTTTTTTTACAAGAAGGTTATTTTATTTGAATGACATAGGATCAAACAGTAAATATATATAGATGACCTCATTCGCGCCTTCTCTGCAACAGGTTTCGCGATCGATCCCGTTAAACTCTGCTCTCTGACAAATGAAACTGATACAGCGAAAGATCTTACAGCTTGGTCATGGGAATTAAAGTAGCGATTTCAGCTTTTTTTATTATTACATAATAACATAACAGTTTTTCTTCCGGTCTGTGGGAGACATGGAACAGGCAAACAAACAGAAACAAAGAAATGTAGCTACTCAGACCAAACAATTTTAGAATACAACAGTGCAAATTTGAATTTCTGTATCTAGCTAAGCTTGGCAGGAGATTTCAAGAGGATGTGCGCTTGACTTCATTTCTTTTGTTTTTCGATCTCGTGGGAGTGAAATAAGGGGGCCGATATGATATCACATTGCAATCTGAAGAGGTGTTGTCCGGTGTCATATCTAAAATAAAATTACCATTGTGGCCGATAGACCTCGTTGTCGGATACATGAGACATCTAAAGTAACCGAGAGAAACTTAATAACGATAGAAGAGGCAAGCATGATCAGAGTATGAAATTTCATTTCTTCAGTAGCACTTAGGTAGACGATCTGGTGCAAAACCGCAAATTCTGGTACTTCCGTTTGCGTGGGCACAGTTTTTCATAGAGGGACCTAGAAGAGACGAAATTGTCTGTGCTGATCGTCTGAAGTCTCAACGATTTCCTATCTTAAGGTAAGATAATGCAACAATCTTTTTTATCGTATTGGAAGGTTTTCATTTGTTATTATGTCGGTGCCGAGAATTGAAAACGTTTTTCATTTACTCCAGGCACAGTAAAAGGTAGAAATAGGATGTATGGGTATCCGTTAGGCCGCTCGGATCAATTACCGCTACAATTTAAAAGTATAAAAGTGAAAGCAACATTGTTTACTATATATATATATATATATGTATATATATGTATGTACAGAAACCATTAAGTGCTTGGAAACACACCATGTGCGATTATTGAAGCGATCCAACCAGTATTCACGAGGCTTAATCGGAGATTCGGTTGAAGCGAAAATATCGATCGATGGAAATCGAAATTATTCACGGGGTATTATTATAGAATATGGAAATTAGTCAAAGCGCATCATGAAACAAGTTAGTTGTTGACTTGTTCAAGCCTGGAGAAATATTATCTACGACTGAAACAAGATTATTAGTTGGCTGAGGTCAGACCTGGAAGTTCAAGGGTATCTTATGTTTACTCCCAGATCTGATTGCAATGTAAATTCTCTCAACATAATCAATGGGTTGTCCAGCAAACAGGTAATGAGAATTGAAAAACTTTCAATTATCAGCTAAAAGGTGCTACTTTGATAAAATATAAAAAAACTCCCAAACGTGTGGTGTACATCGGCCAGGTTAGAGTGAGAGTTATGGATTAGAAGACATTTGGAATCGAATTTTTTTTTTTTTTTTTTTTTACCTCTTGAGCCGGTAGAGAGTCACTTGAATAGCTCTTTACTCTTAGTTTGATTACCATAGCTGTAACTTGAACAAATGCCAAAATAGCCGGAAAAACGCTTGCTTACCTGCGAGACGTGAGCTAATCAAATCTAACCCCCTTCCTTACTCCTCGACAAAAGGAAAAAAAAATAAGAATCGAGTGAACTTCCCAAGTGCTTTCAGATTCCATTAACTTTACATGATGTTTTATTTTTGTTTATTTTGTAACTTTACGTCGAACATATCTTAAAGAATTGGATTACACAAACGTTCAAATTTTCATTAAATCAGCATAACTATTTTGAGTGGGTTTTTGGACTATGACCGGAAGCGGCGGTGGTCACTGATCAACGAGCTACACGCAAATGTGCCCCGAGTGATTCAGCTGACCTACAAAGTCATGGGATTCATGCATGGATATTTTAGAACTTTGGAATATTGCCTAAAGATCAATTTATTATTTTTTATGGCGTCCAACTTTTGACGTCTTATCAACTAGAGCTGTCAAGTAGAGGAGACACTTAGCGGTTTTTTCCCCTTTTTTATCTCCAAGGTGTCAGCAAATGTGACGGAAATTTTTGTGTTTTAATCTTTAGACGCGAATCCCTGAATAAACACCTCGTCACTGAGAAAGGAAATAGAGATCGTAACTTAACACCTGCCCTCGTAAACACGCAGGAAATTATTCATTGACAGACCTGAAGTGCTTGCTTCAACAGGAAAATTAGCGAAAAACGTGGTTTTAAGCCAGTTCTTTGGAGTAATAGAACGTGTTGCATCACGAGTTTACCGGCGAGTTCGCCATATTCGATTCAGAGCCATAGAAACCCATTGACCCTACTTATAAAGGTGAGTATTGGTTAGTTATATTTGTTCTGTGAGATGAAGAGAATACTCATCAAATTGAATTACGGTAAGAGCCATTGCAGAAAAAATTGAGATGTCGGGCTTATGTAATTTGTTTCGATGTTATCTCGTTTATTATGTCTGAGCAGATTCCGGATGGTTCGTGTCGCTGGAATAGATTTGAACTCGACTAATTTAGCCCCTAATATCTTATAGTATATCGTCACTTTAGTATTGTTTATTGTGTCACTATTTTTGTATTGCCACCGTTCCATAATTGAGATTTTGTCACAAGTAACTACGTTTCTTGAGGAAATGTTTCAAAAAATTTCCCCCGATGTTTATTGTTCAACCTAATTCACAACACCCAGGAAATGCGTCAGTAGTTTGTACTTCATAACAAAAAAATTAGCGCAGACTTTATTTAATTTAAACTTGCTAATTATGTTAAATATACAACACATTTTTGCCAAGGATACATGTACAAACAGCCATAAAATATCGAAACACTAATATATATATATATCGGCTTAACTATTAAATTTTCTGGGGGCCAAGGTTAGATAAAGTATACAGTCTCCATATTTTGGACGGATTGATTTTCCTAGATCATTTTCTGATGATTCAAGCTGTTGTTTTGAATGTGCTTAGGCATGTTCAATTTGCTTCGTTTGAGTTTTCCAAGCTTTGATCTCAAGAAAAACTGCGCTGCACATCGAAAGAGCTTTATTAAGTCATGTGACCGTAACAGGTCGCCATTACTCTGGCGTAAAATACTCCAAAGGCCAAATATTGCCGAGTTTCATAAGGTTCATTTGGATGTGTTAGACCCCTGCGGCCTAGAACTGCCGACAAATTCTGCCAAGTAGTACGCATGTACAGTAGTAAAACTGTGCGCGAAAGTTAGTGCACGGAAACCGTCACTAACTTTTTCCTGATATTACATGAGAGGGCAAATATTTGCCCGCGGTTGACAACACCTCCGGTTCGAAATATATTCCACGCCATCTCCCGGATTGTATTTCTTTTCCTTTTTCGTGTTATCACGACTACCATCACATTCTTCGCTTCTGTGGTAAGCAACGAGATAAGTAAGTTACTGGCCTGAAAACAAATCATGGAAAACCAAAACAATAAGATTTTTATTAGTTCCAGGCTTTCAAACAACGATATTCGATCTGCTCTCTTGCACCAAATGACACGTGCTAATTGAAATAATTTGCCGCAACAAAAGACAGTAGTTTTTAGGGCATCACAATAACGTCTTTGACATGAAGCGATGACAGTTCATAAGGCGACTCATTTCAACAGACATCTGTCAACAACTTTATTTATGAGCACCTTTTGAGACAAAAAAATTTAAACTCCAACTAAACGTGGTGATTCCCTTGTCTGTTGCAAACTAAATCTGGTGTCAACTGAGAATAATTCCATTGCAAGAGATTCTACGGTTGTTGTAGGAACTATTTCAAGTATACCCACCATTTAAAAGAGGTGAGTCTAACGCGATGCCTTAGTGTGACACTTTGTGCTATTCAAAGTTATACGCTGGGCAGGTATCGCCATAGTTCATCGTGTACATGACTGAAAGGCGTGATTTCGAACGTATTAAACTACCAATTGATAAGTCTAGAAATTTCATTGTCCTTTTAAAAGAAAGATAAGATAAAAGAGATAAGGTTCGGAGAGAATGCTAACAAAAGGTCCCTCGTATGGAGTCTGTACGGCGTCGTATTTTACAAACCCCTCGGGCCAGTTTAAGCCTCGCGATATTGTCCTTCAGAACAATGGCTCGTGGGCCGTAAAATATGTTGTGGTTTACCAACAATACTCAGCAACTAACTATCTTCCTTACGCGTCGTTGGAGAAAAATAAACGCTATATCATTGCGCTTTTTATTAGCATCACAATGTAATATTTACGCGGTGCTGTTTACCTTGTCATATCCGGTCAAAAGAGGGGGCGAAAACGCTTCATGCAATCGTCGTTTAAAATTGCCATGATTTCGGAGAAAAACTTGACTGGAGAACATCTTTAAGGTATTTTGACCTTTAAATTTACGTTATTGCTTCCTAACTATTCCTTCAAGTGGAGTGTAAATACAGTAGTTGAGTTACTTTTCGATTAGATAACAATAACAATTTTAAGGGGTCACATGATAAAGAGATTAAGAATTGGAAAGGTTTAGCACAGACCATGAAAATCGACGAACGCGTCCTTCTAAGATAAGAATGCCAAACTCGTTAAGAGCGTTTATATTATGCCCCTAATGAGAATGTTAGCGTTAATCTTTAGCATAACGTTCATTTTAGGTGGCAAAGGGCGAAACTATCATGTTTGTCTATAAACCGGATTGTGTTAAAATATGTCACTTTAGGAAACATCTCAGTGATGTCTCGCAACAAGGATTCTATGATTTAGTAAAGACTTCTTAAACAGGCAAATCTTGTTTAAAGTTGCTTCGGTTAGCAGATTCTCCACTTGAGTCTTATAATCCGGAAGACTGTAACAACTAGAACTTCATGGGGTGCGATCCTAGACTGAAAAAAACTGAGCAAAAGTACATTAGAGGGATCAGCGACGTCAATGCACACAAAACCGACAAACCTACTTCAATGTTATTCGATCGAAGAGTTTTAATGTGCGGTTGACGAATTAATTGTGCCAAGCGTTGATCGATAGAGAATGACTTCTCTGCCTTTCTATTGTGAAATTTCCTTGGCCATTCGTACGGTTAATCCAAAATCATTTTCTATTTTATGCTGGCGTCCACTGACACAATCGCAGTGTCTTTGCATAACAAATGCTTTTTACGCTGGACACACGCACGGTTGACTTCACCTGTCACGTCCGATAAATATCGAGTGTTAAATCCTTCAGTGTAAACAGGTCACGGTCGCAAGAAAAAATTTTTTTGCTGTTGAAAAAAATTAAAAATACTATGAACTCGGACCGGAGGAGCGTGATCTACAAGAGCTACTAAACATGTGCATCTTGGAAAGTTTAGACAAGTTCGTCGTTTGCCAATCTTCTCCATTCTTAACGAGTCTTGTTTACGTATATTGTTCCCTCTGAAAGGCTTCCTTAAGTTTAAGGAATCAAATTTTTTTTACGGCTTCGATCCTTAATTCCAAGTTGCATGTAGTTCCGTATTGCTCGTCACAAGGAACGTCTACACGGAAAGTAAGGGAACTCACGTGCAAAAAACACCGAGTTTAATTAAATGAACGTTGGATATCATTTTTCACCATAAGCCTATTTTAGCAATTTTTAACTGAAAGGATTTAGCTTTAAAAGGTTTAAAAACTTTGGCCGGTCATTGGATGGGCGACCGCTCTGGCACTGGAGAGAAAGCATGCACGGATTATCAAAGCGATGAAGATAAACAACATAGCCAACTAGGATCTCCAAACAAAACAAAAACTAATAAACAACAGACAAAAGTAGACAAACACGCTTCATTTTGTTTTCCTCCGCAAACTTCTCTTTAAGATCTTGGGAAATCGCGTGCGTTTACTAGCTTCCGATATCAACTTTTCCCGCAATATCCGATGAACTCCAAAATTAAAGCTGATATTGAACATCCAAATCTGCTCGATCGCTAATATTTGATGAGGTAGCACAAAGGGTCTTTTTGAAAATGGAATTGAATTTTGCAATGAATATCACAGACAGGAATGTACGTACTCTACTTTTTGTTCCTACCTATGGTTTATCATTAATTATTTGTTCATTGTTGTTGCAAGGGGAAATTTCCTGTGCTAGGTTAATCAATGCATTGATTGCTACGTGTTTTTCTTGTTCGTGAAGAGTGATTTTTTTCTTTACTGTTAAGAAGGTTAACCTTACCAACTGCCAACTTAAGAGGCGGCCTCCTCCTCGGTCTTCAAAGCCTTATAAATCACTTTTAGTTGATACAATTTATTTTGAATAAAATTTCAAATAATGAAACGGGAATTTTCGTTGATGGACGACTTAAAACAAAATTAACTATCTCGAGTTGTCACTACAAGGATCACTTTGGCACTGCTTATACTAACAAGTGCATACAAGACATTTGTCTAAAACTTTGAATATTGTGATCCAATTTATCAAACACTAATTATATGTACTGCAATGTAGTGTCAACTGTTTGACGAATAAATGTTTCTTTTGTCAGCCACTTATAGAGTACAACCAATAAATATAATTTGGATTTACAGAATTGCCTCGATTCAAATCCGTATACCAATAAAATGATTTCAACTCGTTATACCTGTGACGCCCTTCAACATCATTGAAATAGTCCTAATCGTTTTATATCCTTTGTTTCCGTCACGTTGGGGATCAAAAAGTGCTATCTTTTTCGCACGTGCACAAAGCATGTTACCTCTGTCGAAAACACTTCCGATCCCAAACATCCTCACAACTTTTTTTCATATTACGTTGCCAGAAAGTGTCCAAATTCTAAAACAGGTCAAAAATTGAGAAAAACTGTCATTTTAACGGACAAATGTAGACATATACTAATATTGATTGTCTTATTACTTCCAATAGCCTTTGAGTTTAGTAACACTCGGTTGAAGCTGGTACGTGCCTTTGTACTTGTATGCACTTGTAGTAATATTTTTCACAAGTGCTCATCATTCTCATATATATAGATATCGTTTCACTCGGAAATTCGATCTTATCTCGGAACTAATAGTTACAAGGATGGCAAGAATTGTTTTCGCATTTAGAATAGAAGTATTTCTTTCCCTTTACACACAAAATAGCACTTACTAATGGCGCCATTAGTCTCTTTATTCATGAAATTTTCACGAATACTGCTTTGATTGCGTCTGGCGTGGGCCATTTCTTAGGTTCAAGGCCACATTTTTTAACGGCCGAGTGGTGATTCGACGAAACAGAACATCCCGCCTTCGCACGAAATCTCTTGCGGGCGTTTTAAAATGTGACAAAGTCCTCATCTCTCACTAACACTTTGATGATGGGTAGAATTCGAAAATTGCAAAGTAAAAACAACCAGAAATAAGCTTTTAAAGATCGAAATTTGTTTCAAAACGTTTAACATAGACAGTTGATGATTGATGGCTTGAAGTATGTGATAAATAATTGTTTTAACTGACGTATCAAGGCTTGAGACATGGGAAATCATGTATTTAAATTATAACGAGTGGTTTCTGGCCAAAAGGCAACGATTCACAGAAAAATGTTAATTGCACAATTTGCTGTTGTTAGAAAGACATTTTAACCACATTGACTAAAACATTCACTAAAAAAAACCCCGAATAACAAGAGAAACGTTAGTGGATCTCTAAGGTAAATTGTCTTTTTTTTAATCACTTATAATTATTCTCTGGTGAACCTCAGTATAAAGATAATATCTTAATACTTTTTATGTGCGAAATCTAGCTTCGTTTTTACAATCAACAATTTATATTTCGTTCGGTAGCTAGCATTGCCGTATCTTTCGGATTTTGTTTTATACTTTACAATATCGTAACGTTTCCGTGACACAAACTCTAAGAAGCGAAATCGGCTCGAGCCGGATTTTTTCCTTTTGTTCTTTCGGTTTGGTAAGCACGTCTTGAGTTTTAGTTATAGTGGCTAAAGTTTTAACACAGAAGGATTACACACAAACAAATATTCTTATATCCCTCTGAATCTCAGAATGGCATATGATAAACACGGTTAACTTTGATGTTCTTCTATTCTCACTCGAGCTTTACCTATTTTTAGTCAGATCTTTTTTGAGCCTCTTTGCAACATGCTTTAAGTGTAGGTAAAACGTGCTATTAAAGAGAATTTCGATAGATCCTTTTCCGTAAAGTCAGTGGTATCCCCAGATTATCGTAAGCTTTAAATTAATGCGCGTGTTTTATCAATGATGGTCCATCAAGTAGTACGGCCTGAAACAATACCTTCTCGTCTCACACAATCATTATGAACGTCAGAAACACTCGGATATCTATTTTAAGGTAAACTATGAAAAAACACAATATTGCAGTGATCAGGTTAATTTAAGTCAGCGTGCAAACGAGTTTGTCCTGCCGGTCTTTGCTTAAAAGGCTGGCATTGGGAGTCCTCGCGCATTCGGCAAGAACTATTTCGAACGAAGCATAACTGGCTGGTATGGTGTTTGTTAAGTGGTGAGACATGCTCCAATGCCCTTCTTTACATAGGTTTTTTTTTTCACAATCCACCGGCAATTTTGGCTATGTTAATGGCGGCAAAATCTTCCTTTATTCCGCGTTGTGGCGAACCCCACGACTTGGTGCGACAACCACGAGCTTTCTCTAA